GCACAGACCATTCGTCGTTCAAATCTGTGCAGTCAAGGAAACAGGTGAATTAATCAGCGTTTTTTTTTTCTAGAGTCAGCTTTATGAACAAACGTGTGTGCCTATTATTCAAGAAAAAACCATGTAGGCTCACTCATCAAAAATGATTGACTTGGTAAAATCAGTAACAATTTCGTAAATTTTTAAAAGTATTTTCATAGTTTATATGTCAAAAAGAATTCATCAATAAATTATGGAGTGTGAATTGTTTGTTAATGCAATAAGGCAGATTTAGACTATGACTTCATTGTCAATCGTTTACGAGGACTAGAGGTTCAATCTTGCGAAGTAATTTAATATAGTTAAACCGCCCATAACCATAAAGTGGCGTCATCCAACGATGTACAGTTTTTGCTCTGTATTTAGGATTATGAATATATATTGAACTGTATAAAAATTATGAAGCAATTAAACACGATCACTTTCTGTTTGCAATGGTTTAAAATTTAAATCACTACATTTTACATTAATAATACGTTTCGGCTTAAAATGCGGCATCGATTTTATTCTCATCACCTCTCAGGACTTCGCTGTCAATGCGGTCGGTATAGGGATTAAGGTGAATTATCAATTTTTTGCAAAGAAAAAACAAACTATTGAGCAATCGCAAACTATTCTAGGTTTAGGTTTAAAATATTGTTTTATCTTTCCCCACATTCTGCATCGCTCATATCATTTGTCATTCAAGTCTGTACGGTCAGAGAAACAGCCAGGTCAATTACCAGCGTTTTACCCCTAGTTAACGCCAGGAAAAACATAGCGTGTTCATTATTTAAGGAAATCCATGTAGGCTAACGATTTTTCCACACTCATTAAAATGTTTTACTTGGCAAAATAAGTAATAATACCGAAAATGTTTAAGCATATTTTCATAGTGTATACTTAATGTCAATTAAGCATTCATCAATCAATTATAGAGTGTGAATTGTTTGTCAATGCTTTTAAAAAAACATGGCTATCAGTGGGGTTAACTTGAATTTCACCGTTTTCATTGAGCCATCGACAATTTCTGCGAATTAGGAAAAATTGTAAAAGGTTGGACCATTCACGAACTAAGACAATGCTCTTGGAAGCGAGAGGTCATTAAACTGCTGCAGCCTTTACTGCTGATAAACTGTTAAATGGTCATATGAAGTTAATTGCTACATGCAGTTTATTAGGTGTTGATTGTAAACATTTGCAGTCGTTCTAAAATACGTGAGATAGCGAACGCGCAAGGTTTCAATAGTCAGTAATTAAATATGTGCCGCGCGTCGATTTGACTGTTTTAGACTTTGCACTTCACTCCTAGTCAGTTTTAAATTCGATAAGGATGTGAGATGTTCAGGGATTGAAATATCAATATTATCAGTCCTATATATTAGGTTACATTATCTTTATTCAAAATTGTTCTTATGAAGGGATGAGGTATACGGCACAGGCAGGAAAAATTGTTTAGCCCCGACAGCATATACTGTTACATGGTGCAGTCTGTCAATTGATGCACTTCGCAAAAACTTGGAAAATTAAAAGCACTGGAATGAGATAAAACGAATTTCAATGGAAGCTTCAGTAAATATGATAAATGAAAGTTCGTGAAGGGCTACCCTGAAGTATAGTCTCGGGGTTCCTACACATGCAAAATTACATATGTAACAGTTCAGTTTTTTTTTTCGAAAGGATGATACTTTGAAGTAATATACAAACAGAAACGATGATCTAAAATCAGAGATTAACATTCTAATAACTGTTATATTATATAGCTCATCAATTGATGCATTTCGAGAAATGTTGAAAGACAAAAAGCCCTGCTCAGAACGAGATGAAGGAGTTAAATATTGGATAAGCTACGATGAAGCGTTGAGTGAATTTGTTAAATGAAAGTTCGTAAAGTCAAGTATTAGAGTCTCTGTAGATAAGAAAGACCAATTATTAAATATATTGTCAACTCAATCCTGTTAAATCTAGTTAATAATCTAATTTGTCTTCTTCATATCTTGCATCGTCCACTACATCACTGGAAAATTGAAATCAGGAGATGATTCTTTCAGAGACTCATAGCTAGCTGCTCTCACCGACGTTAATTCTCCCCAACACTCATAACCTCTATTAGTGCGTATTTGTTAGGAAGAACTAGAATAAATCTCTACCGAAATATTCATCTCACATACTGTTGCTTCCTAACGCAGCACTAAAGTTTACAAATACGGATACAACAACTCAACGGCATAGAAAAAAGACAAAAATTTTGTCAAATCTATATTCATAGCAAAAGAGAATTGAATGATAAATTCGACCGTTTTATTTTGACTCGTTATCTTTGAACTATTAAACTGATTAAGTTCTAATTTATTCGTTTAGAACCGAAATTGTTTTGAAACTTCAACTTTGCGGTGCAAGTTCAGACATAATGGTTTCCTTTATGTTGAATCAAGACAGATAAAATCTCCGATTTATGTTAGTTTACTGGTAAAAAACTCGGTAGATAAAACCGAATTTCACTGTAAAAATGGGTCTGGTTGTGATTTGGTAAAGTAGATATAATACAAAGTGTGGTGGCAAACAAAAAATAGTCTTTAAATTCCTAAATTCTTAAAATATATGTATTAGTATACACATATTGAGTAATTAGGGTTTTGGTTATGCTGAAGTACCTGGACGTACACGGTTTAAGATTTTGGGTTCAATTCCTGATTTTCCAACGTCGTGCTGAGCGTTAGGAATACGCTTGCCACCGCACCTCTGATTACCCTGCCTGGGCAGGTTCGAATCCCATGCGTAGATGATTATGTACAAGTGGGATTGCTGGACTCCTCGACGTAGGGTGGCTCTCCCGGGATAAATATGTAAATTATATTCTATCCGATCCTATCAAGCTCAGTATCTCCTATTTTCCAATGAAACGCTCGTCCAGCGCCTGCTTCAGTGCGAACAAGTAAAACGTTTTATATAATAAGGGTCATATGAAAATCCGCCCTCAATTTTTTGGACAAAATCACCGTAATTTATCACAAAGTGTTGTTTATAATTATATACTAATCACGATTCGGAACGTGTTTTTTACACGCCCTGTCTGCAATATGTCAGTTTAACACTTATGTCGGATTAAGATAAGGTTCTGTGAAGTATGGAAATTTTATTTTCCTGAAAAGTAAATATGAATTAATAAGATTAGTTATTGTATAGCAATGAAAGTGTTTTGCAAGTCCATGCTTGAAACAACTAAGATATTTTTTTCAAGAAAAAAAAAACGCAAGAATTCGTGTTTGTCTGTAAACACTCAATATGAACGGACTAACTGCCCGCGGGGGTCTGAACAAATCCACGATAACGCAATGTAAATATGCTATAACTCATTGAACCTACAGGCACATTACTAAGAAGTGCGTCTTAATTTGTGTGTTAAACGCGCTTGTGATGGGCTCAGTTAGACGAAAAACTTTCATTCAGATTAGTTTTCACGTGACTATATGATTTGAATACGTCGGAGATGGCAGAATTACAAATTTTAACCCAAGCCCAATTTTAAATACAAAAAAATAGAAAACCAGGCTATATTTTTATTTGAAGCCGCAATGTATAACCAAAAGCTGAAACAGTTAGAAGTAGGAATGGATATATGCTGGCTCTTATATATAGAGATAAAGTTTACTATCACAGCTTGTGCGATCATTTCCACCTATAGTGATGGAAATTTTACTTTTCAGTTCAAGCTGATCAAACGCTTTACATGTCTCTATCTAAACCAAGGCCCTAAAAAAGCAGTTAGGGTTAGAACGTAATTTCATTCCAATTTTCCTTTTTTTTAGTTTAATTACAAGTTCGGGGACTGTTTTTGTTAGCCAAGTGAATATCCTCTGTCCCCTCTTTGCACAACTTGATGTAAATTAGGCGAACAAAATTAGTGACCTCCATATTAGTACACAAACTTCTGGAGCGCCGGTAAAAGTATTTGAAAAATAAAACGGAAATTTTTTGGTTAGGCAACATTTGGTATTTATACTATATATATATTGGAATATACAAAAATAATAAAATACGATTTTGCATAATGTGGCCGCCATTAACGTATTTAATTTTAAATTGAATTTTAATGAAGTATCGTGTATATTACCCCCCGATCTTTGATATACGTATGACTTGATAAACATCCATAAAATTTTGAGGCCTCAACTCGCAAGTTGAAGTTCAATCTGTTGGCACGACGCAAAAACCTTTCTCAATAGATTGTTAACTTTACAACAAAGATGCAACGTCACTGCAAAGTTTATTCAGAATGGTCGTTTAGTTAAGTTAATGATCTTATTTATTTAATATATTACAAGCTTGATCCAGGTGTAATAGTTTAGGTGTATCTTAGTTCCACGACTGGAAACGTAGTGTTGAACATTCAAACTTTATTGCCGACTGAAATTGAATTTTTTATTGGTTGTTTTTACAACGAAACCTCGTGCCGATATGTGGGTTTCTATTCTAGTAATTTGTGTAGTAAATACTTCCAGATTGAATTGTACTCGCGGTCATGGAGTACTACAAAGTGTACTGGTATTTGTACCGACTGTATTATGGTGATGCTGCCAATATAGAGAATTAGATAGGTTAAGATACAGATAATTATAAAGTGTTTTTCATTACAGGTCTACAAAAAATTGAATCGTAATCTTGATAGAGTCTTCAGTTAGCGGGGTATCAAACAATTAAATTCAATTTTGATGAAAGTGAAGAAAAAGTCGTAAAATTTGTCCTTTTGAGAAATTGTCGCAATTACTCCGGCATTGTGTTGACATCAATCAATTTGAAAATACAAAAACAAATAGAGAGAATGTGAGTAAAAGAAAAAAAAGAGAGAGAAGAGAGCAAGAAGGGTGTGAGAGGGAGCAAGAGCGAACTCTCACATTAAATATCTTCAACTTTAGTTAGTTGAATCCTTATGCCTAATCGATCGGTGGGACACAGTACAACATGTTAATCATACTAATCACTATCCATACTTTTAATCAGCTAGTCTATCTACAATAGATTGGATTTAACAATTTACCTGTTGCGAATAGTATCGACATTTAAATTTTGGATATATTCAATTATCGGAAAAGGAAGAAAATGAATACTTTACTTTTCTTGGTGACTTTGTTCGTTGCTGCCTCTGCATTGGCACAGAAAAGAACGACCCATGAGATTCAGATGAATTCTGACGTTAATCCTGAGTGAGTACAACTTTTTCAATTTTTTTTTTAACAGTATCTGAAAGTTGTGGAAAGGTATTTCATAAGGGCATATTTACCAGTCGCAAGCTATTAAAATACTGACTTGGCTAATTTTGTAACTGTCCAAAGAAGCAATAACGGCCTTAATGAAATTTGATAATGACTGTAAAAAAGAGCATTCTTCTGAATAATACATTGCAATATAGCTTAGCTTGTATCTTGAAACGCTTTCTCTCAAGATCCTTGAAAATCCACGGCCTCCGACCGGGTCCGTTAGCTGATACGGTCTGACTTGGTAATTTTAGAGAACCCATTCGAAAAATCCTGGCCATGTCATGATTGCTATACTATTGTTCACAATAAAATCTCGATAATATATTACATCAGCAAGTTCAATGTAATTGCCTGTGATTCAGATTATGACGAATCAAAATAATAATTTTCTTCAACGCATAACGAGTGCTGGCTGGTTCGTTTGTCACCCTCAATTAACCTCGTCAAATGATTACTTGATCTAAGATTCGCCAGAGTGTTTCAAACGATGAGTTAGAATCATTTTTTATACATCTAACTTACATGGAGCCTGCCCTAGTTGATTGCAATTTAGTTGAGTTGTTATGACTAAGATGACTGAGAGCAAGTGTTTACTAAGTAGGTGAAAGAAAACATCTGAAGACGATGGGATATTTTCAGGTTTTTCTATAATTGTAAACCATTTAGTTTGAAAATTGATGATAAAAAAAAAATTGACTCACGCGTGAAACAAGGGTATACTTTGAAATTAAGATAACAACTGTACTAATGTCAGTAGCTCGTCAGAATTTTGAAAGTTTTGCAAAATGTCATAAAATTGAAGTTATTTTAAATACTAGTTAAACTAACGTTATAGACACATAGGTATGGGAGTCGAGTAACATAATCAAATGATTATTCAACAAAAAGTTATCCATCCCACGGATAACGAGAAAAACAAATGACCTAACCATGCTATTTTGGGTAGATCATTCAGATTGCTTCTGTAGCTTATGGTATGGTTTTTCTATTTGTCATAGAATCAACGTTTACTAAAATAAGAGCTAAATACTCTTTTGCTCGTAGATATGAGACTAAATGTATTAAATTCATTTTTGTTTTCAAAATCACCCATCTCACGGAGGAACAGGATCTCTTCAAAATCACTTATGATTCAACTCAACTTTTTTCGAATAAACTTTTCTGTCTTAACTTTAAGTCATGGGATCTTGATCATAGTAGTTTTATTTCGCAATCAGCAGTCAACAAGGGTCACATTTGCTAATTGGCTTCCCGTCCCACCCGGCACTTATACTTTCTGCGTCATTGGTCTTTGAAACGTCAGGAAACTTTCAATACCCTGTCACAATTGATCTCACGCTGCCAAAAATATAGTTAATTAATTTCGTATTTCTATGTAAATCCTCCTATAGACATAACATTATCTACAATAAAGCTGTAATAAGTTTGAGCCAATATATCGCGAGTAAAGAATACAGTAATCTATCTAACGCGCATCTAATTTTACTAAAAATACCATTACCCACATATACCATAATTACTCAGATATTTCAGTAATTTTCCATTTTTTTCACTTACTTACACCAAACTGCAAGTCATTTCATTCAAAACACTTTATTTTACAAGTACAATTTTCCATCGCCAATTTATGCAAGGCCATTCCTCTTAAATGGCCTATTTACTATAACTGGTAACCTCCTCGAGAACCAGTTTCTACTTGTACCTGTGAATTTTTAACTTGAGATTTCTCAAGATTTTTCTAAGTGTTAGCTCAGCGTTACGCCTGTAAGCTCTTCTAGCATTTAAGAACACTGCTAAGCATTTCAATAAATTGATTCCCATTTCACTACAATTCATACTGTTGAACCGATTACTGGAATCCAATGTTGAGCGGATCCATGTTCAACCTTGGCCTAAGAAATAAGCAGGGAGTTGTAGCCATCTTGAATACTGAGGTATTCCCAGTGTCAAGCAGAAGTCAAGCAGAATTTCAATTAGTTCAATACCTTGAGTATTTTGGATAAAATGTGTCCCATTCTTTGTACAAAAACGTACATCAGATACCCCAATTCATTTTGAATGTTTAGTACAGCCCTATGACTAAAGTGCTATTCATTACAAATTCAAACCTTGAAAGTTATCCATTTCTAATCTTGAGTTTTATAAGTTCCTTCACGTTTCGAGCAAGACTCGTACGTAGTATGACGTATCATCCATTGCTTCGAATAAGGATTAATGCAATCCAAAGGTCACATCCATTGGCCATTCTCAATTGTTACCGAACAAAATTTAATATACCCATTAGGTTTTTCAGAAACATCAAGAATATCAAAGTTCAGATTTTTGAATCGACCAATAAAATTAGTTCAAAACTTGGACGCTTAATAGGAACTATCACTTTTAACGCCCAAATTTTTGTGGTATTCGATAGTCCATCGATAAGGCCAGATTAAAATGCTTCAGACGCTTGAAATTGGCACTTTGGCAAAGTTATCTCAAAATCCGCCCAAATTAGGGAACTGGGTCATTATGTTGTAATAATATCATAATAGCTTATGTCGTTTGTCTTGGGTAACTTGACACCTTCACAGACTGGCCGTTGAGAGTATTATTGTAAAAAATTCAGAAAATTTGCTCTTATGTTCAGGTAAATCATTCAATAATAATAATAATGATTTGATCGCGAATTTTGTTCAATTTGATGCATCCGAACTAGTCTTATCCACGAAAATCCTTAAGCTTTGTATAATACCAAACCAATTTTTTATGGAGGCCATTGGGTTCGTGGCTCAACAAGGTAGTATAGCAGCGGCCGTTTGAACCTCGATTTGTACATGAAAAACGTATGTCGTTTTGTTGCTGATGAGTCTCACATAAAATGTCTTTGGCAACGACAATTTGTGATTTTAAGTCTGGTCGATTTGTTGATTTACATTGGTCCGCATTCCTGTATTTGACCTCGTTGATTGAAGCAAATATCGATCAGTAGAGGTCGATTCAAGGTCAACTATTTTCTTAGAAAAGTCACCAACTTAAAGTACTCAACCAATCATTTTGACAAATCAAAAGCAAATTGATTTTTTTTGCATTCATCCGATATTTTCTGTGCTTATCCACAGACGAATAGCTGTTAAACTTTTGATGCTTTTGTAACGTTAACGCAATCATTTTGCAACTAAAATAATACAAGTTCTTCAAATCCAACCAATATTTTTGTACAAAGTTACAGACAAATAGCTTATCTTCTTACATATGACCCGGGCATGTATAATACAGCTTACAATACTGCTTTGCTGTCCAAACTGTTTATACTTCGGTAACATAACCCTGATAAGATAAAGCTAATCTGTCTGGGCTTGGCCTCTTCAGGCGCTTGGGTTAAAAGTTGAAGTTTAGTTAACATAGTGAGATTGATAGAGATGTATTAGTCTATGATGAAAAGAAACAGATGTTGTATATACTATTGTAGATTATTTTAAAAATCTGTATTTTTTTCTTGTCATATTAGAAGATTACAAATTACTATATATTTCTCCGTGTCATGAATTTGTATTCTTGTGAGCTTATGAACTTACAGTTCGTTTACAGATGTTGAATATACTGTTCTAGATTATATCTTGTCATATTAGAATGTTACAAATTATCCTACATTGGTACTTGTGTTATGGATTTGTATTCTGTTAGCTTATGGGCTTACAGTTTATTACCATTGACATCTTGGCATTGAATACTGAGTATAGAGAAAAAATATCTATTTTATTCGTTTTGCAAAAAAATCAATAAATGAATAGAAATACTATTACAAAGTACAAAAATTGGTTATCATAGTAATATGATGAATTTTAGAAACGGGGGGTTTAAACACACCAAAAATCACTTTAATTGTTATTCAATTGTATTCATGCATTCTCGACACAAATATAAGAATATTTGAACCAGTTATTGGCTTATCAATTAAAAAAATTAAAATTGGAATATTCGTCACGCTATACACGTATATTCAGTAAGTAATGAATTGAAATTTTGCTTGACAGTAATAACATACACATTCGCTTTGTGGAAAAAATAAGTCAAAGACTTATTGTTACTACATGTATACATGTATATAATTTGCCACATTTTAATGATGATTGTTCAATTATAATGTACTTCGAGCTTCGATCTAAAATAGTACGTCAGCTGCGTTTTACTTCTATTGGATATCTCTTTCGTTCGGAGAAAAAATATGTCAAACACAAATCGTAACTATATGCTGCTATTCTGATCATTCCAGCAGTCTTTACTTTACGAATCTTCCACGCAGACGCCTTTGTAACAACAATCCACCCACCCAACTAGAGGTTAACACGGATTTATGACGCTATATGGTGTTTTTGTCGAAGTGTTGGAACCACTTGAGCGCGCGTTACTGAATTAACAATGTTTGATATACAAAGATGACAAGACAGAAATTCTTTCAGTTTTGTGAGTCAATACAATATGAAATCGGATATCCGGTATCTCGAGTCCGGTCAGAGTTAAAAGTTGTCTAAATTGATTTCATTTTATTATCGTTTTTTTAGCATGCAAAAAATATAATATTTTTATCGCTTATTATTATCACAAAAAAAAACTAAGAAGTGAATACATCTCAACCCTCCAAGTATTGAAGATTGGGCGATTTTCATAACAATGATATATCATGCATATAAAACATGTTTTTAGTAAAATTTATTTGTAAAATTGTAATTGTAAATTGCCATGCACAAAATATATGTTTTTGTCGCGGTCGTGAACAGTTATTTTTAGTGCTTGGTGTCATAGAAAAACAGGAAGAAATGTATCTCAATTCCCTAAATATTAAATATTGAATGTCTCATATACAGTAAATATAAGTAATGTTCTTAGGAATATTTATTTATATAGTTGTAAATCCATTGGAATTTGAGGAATGTAGTTATTCATCGCTACCGATAAAATTTGTGATG